CAGGAAAGCTGGTAATGGGGAACTCAAGGTCGAGAAGGGGAGAGTGTTGACATGTCGTGGGCTTGGCAACCAGTGTCACAAAACAATATGTGTACTGTTTAATGAGAAGCTAGTTTGTTCTGTAGACCTTCATCTAAAGTACAGTTAAAATATATATTGTTTCTGCACTGTTTTCTCTCCTTCCTTCTGGGATTCCTATCAAACATTTGTTATAATTACTCATAATATCACCTTTAACTCTCACCCCTCCCTTAATTATCCTCCATAATTTTGTCTCGCCAAGCGTTACTCTAGATATTTTTTTCAGACTCATCTTTCATTTGTTTTATTCTCCATTCAGCCTGGGAATATACCTTGACCCTGAAACATAACACCAGACATTCAAGGTAGATTGTCGTGTCCACCTAGAGCACAAGAGGGAAGTGAGGGTTACAAACATTAAGCAACTTTTTCCAGGTCCTCCAGCACGAAAGAGGCAGAGCAGGGACTAACAACCCAGAATGGATCCTCTGTCCAAGCCCTTCCCACTGTGCTTGTTCTCTCTTGGGCTGCAAATGCTCCTTACCTCTCATCTCTGAAGAAGTGGTACCATAGTGGAGTCTTCCAACTTTTTAAGCACTTTTATATTTCTTTTTAGACTGTAAAAAGCAGTAATGTTTCTTCATTAGCTATGATAGTGTCACAGAACTTTGCTCTGTCATTCAGACGACCATTGATATGTATTCTACCATGTTTTGATTTTAGTTTTCTTTGTATTAATCTATTTTGCCTAACTTCAGAGTATAATAACAGACATACCTCATTTCAAAGAAGAGGTCGCTGCTGGGGTGTTTTCCGAGGGAGATATGGAAATTGGTCTGAACAAGTCAGTCCTGGCATTCATCGTTCATTCCGCCAAGAGCAAGATGGATACACAGCAATGAGGGGTGCTCACGTGGGCCCCAGAGTAAGACAGTAAGTGACCACTCAGCACGGTGGCATGTACCAGCCAGTGGAATATGTAACCCGGTATGTAACTGTGTCATTCTTTTCCTTCTCTCCAACCTGGCAGAGTGAGGAATGCTAGGACCAAACTTTATCTGAGCAAACTTTATTGTAGCCCTGGTATCAGTGAACGAATGTATGTAGAAGAATTCCTTAGCATTCATAGATGCCTTCCTTCTCTCCACTTTCCCACAGCACCCACTATGCCAGTCGACCCTACTATAGAGGAGGCCAGCGGCATTACCAAGGCCAATTCCATGCTAATATGGACATGTGGAAAGAGAAAATTCATCCAGGGAGAAAAACGCTGGGAAGGGGGCAAAATGGAATCCCCCAAAGCTGGTTCAAGATCACAGTAAGTATCCTGGCAAAATATGGAAAGTGTGGGGGAGGGCAGGCCAGTCAAATGGAGTTGTGTTGGTCTCCTACAGAGACACTACATACTTTGCTGGGGACAGGTAGGATTTGTAATCTGCCCTTTTTATCACTAGGAGTTAACATCCTTGATCATCTAAGGGCAGGTTCAGAAAAGTAACATAAAGAGAAAAGGCTGACTGCAGGAAGGCCAGGGAGGTTGTCTAAAGGTAAAGGTGGGAACTACTACCAGGGAGGTGGAGCAACTCCCCATTGGATGTCTCAGTTTGGCTCAAGCTGGGGGTGGGCCAATCTCTGGATCAGAGGAGCAGGCAGGGTCTATATTAGGTAGGTGCTTCTGGAACCTTATAAAAGGAAGATCATGTTAAACTTCTTAGGTTGATTATTTGGAGGAGACCTTTTGCATAGAGAGAAAGAGAATTCAGAAAATCCATATTTGGCACAAAAAATAAGAAATCATGTCAATGGTTCCTTCTTTAGAAGTCTTAAAGCTCAGTAGAAGATTAAAACAGAACACTCGGTGAGGTCCGTTCTCCAGCCGTAATTCCATGTTGTCACTCTTTTATACTTTCTTTTACTCTTAGATTCCTTGCGGGAGAAAGTATGACAAGACTTGGCTACTGAATTCCATCCAGAGCCATTGCAGGGTTCCCTTCAGCCCAGTTGATGTAAGAGAGGATGGTGAAGCCAGATGACTGGGTAGAGGGGAGGGGGGTGGCCTGGATCAGCAGGGGCCTTTAGTCTTCAACACTATTGCTGTTGCCTCTGCTTCCTGTAGTTCTACTACGCGAGAATGCAGGCCCAGTTCTTTGTCCAGGATGCTAGCACTGCCGCTGCATTGAAGAATGTCAGTTACAAGATTCGTGATGATGAGAACCAAAAGGTGTGTGTCGAAGTGATTACGTGTACCTAGTCTGGGGGCAGGAGGATGGACCAGGGGCAGGACCATCTTCTTTGGGATTAGAGTTCCTGGTACTTACCCTTGCCTCTCTTTCCTACAGATATGTATCTTTGTCAATCCCTCTTCTGTACCTTATTCTGTGCAGACTAAGCTGAGGCCAGAACAAGTTGATCAGCTAAAGGTAATGCAGACTCAAGACATGCTGTGTACCCAGACCTACCCTCTTTTCCCCCCACCCCAATTTCTCCATCATCACCACCACCACGACTGCCTCAGAGCTGCTATCTCCATCTCTGTCTCTGCAGCTGACCATGAACAAACGATATGATGTCTCCCAGCAGGCTCTTGACCTCCAGAACCTCCGCTTTGACCCAAGTATGGCTGACAACAGTGATTCTAGGGCAGGCGAGGGCAGAGGGGTATGCATGGGAGGGAGACTTAGGGATGGTAACTTGGGGAGGGGTTAGTGCTGGTGCTGGTCCATCTCAGCCTTCTGACTCCTTTCTTTCGGCTTCCTGAAGATTTGGTGGACCATGATATTGACATGATCCTGAATCGAAGAAACTGCATGGCTGCCACCCTGAAGATCATCGAAGAGAATTTCCCTGAGGTGAGGCCGTAGGCCCAGTGCTGGTACCAGGACTCCCAACCGGTTTGTTCCAGTTCGACCTTCTGCTGAGAATTTGCATTTCTAACAAGTTCCCAGGAAGTTATACCTAAGAATCACCTGGGGATCTTGTTAAACTGTAGATTCTGATTCAGTATACCTGGGGGTGGAAATGCAAATTCTCAGCAGAGAACTTGTTAGAAATGAAAATTCTCAGCTGAGGTTTGAATCAGAACAAACCAGTTCGAAGCCTTGGCTGGTATTTAGGTAAAGGGGTGGAAAGGAAGAGATGGAGGGCAGATTTGTCTCTGAGGCCCTAGATAGTTAACCATCGCTCTAACTCTTCTTCCCAAAAGCTGTTGTCCTTGAACTTGCGCAGTAACAAATTATACCAGCTGGATGGCCTGTCTGACATTATGCAGAAAGCCCCCAAAGTCAAGATCCTGAACCTCTCCAAAAATGAGGTGAGAAGTGGAAGCCAGATCTAATTTGGGTTGAGGATGGGTGACAGTACTCATCAGGGTGATGACAAGAGGCAGGAAGATGCCTGTAGGTGAGGGTGAGGACTGGGGGTGCATGGGCTCAAATGTGTCTCTCCCTGGGACTGCTCTCTCTCATCCTTCTCCATTTTCTCAGCTGAAATCCGCTTGGGAGTTGGACAAGATAAGAGGGCTTAAGCTCGAAGAGCTGTGGCTAGAAGG